GTCATCCTCAACTTCTATTTTATCCAATGAAATCTTTTCTTCTACAACCTCTGTTAGTCCCAATTTTAGAAATAGTTCCTGGACACACTGATTCCAAACAACTAAAAATTCTTCTTTGAAAGAAGGATATTCTTCCATTATGTTAAAAGATATCTTTTCCTTTAATTGCTCTCTGGTTCCCTCTGGTTAACTTAAAACTCAGTCTTATCTGGTGTTTATTTTCAGAGGCAAAACTTTTCCAGGACAGATTTTCCTGCAGTTAAATCCAAACTCACATTATATTTTCTTAAACATTTAAAACAATCCTTTAAAAAGCTGTTTCAAATCCATCTAGCCTCTTAACTGTCCCCAGTCAGCATTCTTAATTCCTTTTCATTATTTCCAAAAGTTAAAATATTCCTTTTTGATCTTTAAACTTATTTTAATCTTCTTTCTCCGCAACTTGCCTTTCAGGAGGACTCACATTATATTTTCTTAAACATTTAAAACAATCCTTTAAAAAGCTGTTTCAAATCCATCTAGCCTCTTAACTGTCCCCAGTCAGCATTCTTAATTCCTTTTCATTATTTCCAAAAGTTAAAATATTCCTTTTTGATCTTTAAACTTATTTTAATCTTCTTTCTCCCAGGATAAAAGGACGTTCTCCTGATATACAGCAACTTGCCTTTCAGGAGGTTTTTAATTTCCACGTAAATCACAAATAGGTAGTTTCTGATGTTAATTAAAAGAGAAAGTGAAAGCAAATCTAGTGTCCTTTTGTGGGCTTGATGTTTCCCTCAACTCCCGAAGTGTTCCACCCTGCTCCACCTGCTAGAGATTGCTAGACTGCAGTCCCTTCACAGGGAGCATCTCTAAGGAGTGTCTGTCTGTGGGTGATCCTGTCATCTCCATCTGGACATGATTCCAAAGAGCCAATCCAGTTGCCAGCTCCTCTAATTACTGTGGGCATCGGCTCCACAAAAACAGAGCCATATTCAATCCGCCATTTCTCCCCCAGAAGTCAAATTGCCATCATCTTTTCAATAACATTATCTAAAAATGGAAAATTAGAAATTGGGTGAAAGTTGTCAGAAACAATCAGATCTAGGAAGCCATCTTCAAAAGGAGACGCATTACTGTCTCTTTCAAGACAGATAGCATTACTTCCTCCTTCAGGAAGTGTTGACAGTTTCGCAGATCCAACCACTCTCATCCTGCCAGGTCACCTGAAGAATCCAAGAAGGACATGGGTCCAGCCTACATGTAGCAGAATTCATATTAGACAGAATCCAATTCACTTCTTGAGCTCAGCAAGCGTAAAAGAATCCCTGAAAAAATCATAAGATCTACATAACTTTTCACAGTGGACTTTGCCAGTTGGTGTATAGACCACAGCAGATATATGCAACTTGATTGATTGATTGATTGGTTGGTTGGTTGTGGGCCATCAAGCCAATGTCAACTCTTAGTGACTACATACATAGGAAGTGATCTGACCAAAGGCAGATGCCAGTGTCCTCCATCTTAAGATCACATCTCATGAACTCAGCAGTAAAGACAGATCCTGCATGTTCTAGAGCCAAGATTAGTTGAGATAAATTACATATTCGCAGCCTTGAGTTATATATGAAAAAGGTGGGATAAAAATATAATTTTTCCTTCATGATTGATTTTCATGTACTAACATTTAATACTGAAGTTAAAAGATATTATTTAATAACATTTCTTCTAAATCTAATACAAATGAATGACATTGAACAGTTTTAATTATTTGCAATGCACTTACAACATTAAGTGTTTCAGAAGAAATTCCAGTTGTACTTTGATCATGGGTGCAGCAGATTCCATTCTCATCTTACATAGAGCTCTTCAAAATCTTTAAGTGATCACAGTTCAGTATAGTATTTAGGTAGTACCAGTCAGTCTTTAGTTGGAGAAGTACTTCAAATTTGTCACAAGTGGTTCACTTGGGGCTTTGTTCTCAAAGCTCATTTCTAACTAAATAGTGAATTAATTAACAAAGTAAGAATATTTTTGAAAGTTACATAAAATATTGATTTGAAATTAATGAAAAAAAGATTGAGGGAATTCGACTGATGGTTGGCAGAGGCAGTATTTCTATATTTCTGTTTGGGGCCAAACTACATGTGACAGAAAATTAGGTGTATTGTTTTTGCTTCAGAGCAGTCACAGAGTGGTCCACATTAAATGAATTAGATGTGCCCTGTTTTTGCAGGGATGGGAAGAATGACAGAAGTATTGGCATACATATGATTAGATTGGGAAAACAACACAGGTTGAAGAATTGCTAAAACTGTTGGCTTCTGCAAAAAAAAGTAATGGTAGATATGACTGGGATTGTTAGCATTAGGTGTATGTTATGTCATAGTAAGTCTAATTTCTAATAAAGGAAATGTTGGAATTAAATGCTATGAGAATCATAGTGGAAATGAAAAAAGAAATGAACATATTTTCTGGGGTCTGCTGCAGGTACTTGGGACTGAATATGTAGTGTCATAATAAATAGACTGGGAACTGTAAACCAAGTACCAAGCAGCTATTTGGCATGCTAATTTTAGTAGTCCCACTTGTTAGCTCAGAAATGCAGGAGACTGACTTCAAGCCTCTTTTCCCAACAGGATTAGCTTAGAACTGTCAAACCACACAGATTTAGCCCTCTCTTGAGCTGTGCCCAAGAATATATGGCTAGTCCATTCATTTTTTAAAATTTATTCATATTTCAGGATTGGGACTTGTTGAGGATCATTTTTTTTAATGATCCACACATTTTGAAAAAAGAACAGGAATTATTTTTGTCAGTTCTTAATAATTAAAATGAGAATTACATTAATGTACTTAAACATTTCAAATGAAAAATAGTCTTGTCTAAGTTTGTACCAGAAAAGTCTTTCTAGAAAGTTAGATCAATTGAAGAAAATTAAACTTCCATCCAAGTACATGTGCGTAGAACCAAGCTGCAGTGTATGTCATATGATGAATGAGTCTTGTTATGAATTACGAGTGCCTAGGTTACTAAGCACTTATTTTTGGGGACATGTCTCACAAATAGACATGGAATTTGTGCCTTTCTCTGAGTTGCTAGTATTTCTTTGCCTTGAGTAGCAAAGCTATTTGTCTTTTTTTTTTTTTGCAGTCACCACCTGTTCTACAATTAGCCCTTCTATTAAAATGTAATACATTTAACTATCATTATCAGTTTAATTAGATGTGTATGGGCCTATGTAGTCACCAGGTGTCAACTTTGACTTGAGGGAGATTTTATTTTACGTGTATTACTTGTACATTAAATGTTGTCCTTTTTATTTGTGTTAGTGATACAGGAGCAAAACCTCCAGAAAGTGGTATCTTTGGATTTATGATTAACGTTTCTGCATTCTTAGGTATGTAACTATTTATACTTACTTATTTATTAAATTATCTTTAAGAGTTGTATGGGTAAAAGTATTGCAAATAATTCTTTCTCCAGATGGATGTGGCACCAGCACCAGGATTTATAGGTTAAAGTAACTCATTTATACATAATATTTTACAAATTTCATTTACTGACCTAGAGTAAAGTACAGGTATTCTTCAACTTACAACGGCAATTGGGACTGAAATTTCTGTTGCTAAGCGAGGCAGTTATAAAGCGCAACCACATTGCTTAGCAATGGCAATCCCTGCAGTCTTGGTTGCTGTCATTAACTAAATCCCATGGTCATTAGGCAAGGGAACTTTTATTTATTTTATTTATTTATTAAACTTATCCCCACCCATCTCCCCCCAATGGGGGACTCTGGGCGGCTTACAACATATTAAAACAATAAATATACAGTAAAAATTTATAAGAGAACCCATTTACACAGAATAAAAGGAAAAGGAAAAATCCAGGAGGCCGATGGAAGCAACACCAAGCCTCTAGGGGACTAGCCACCCCATATCCGATGACCTCCCTCCCCACCCCAGGCCAGATGGCAGAGCCAGGTCTTCAAGTCCCTCTGAAAGGCCGGGAGTGAGGGGCCCTGTCTCATCTCCGGGGCAAGATGTTCCAAAGGGTGGGGGCTACAGCAGAGAAGGCCCGCCTTGACCCTGCTAGTCGGAGTTCTTTTGCTGAGGGGGTCCGGAGCATGCCCTCTCTGTGTGATCGGGTGGGATGGGTTGAAATTGTGGGGGAGAGGTGATCCCTTAGGTAGCCTGGCCCCATGCCATGTAGGTCTTTAAAGGTAATAACCAACACTTTGAATTGGACCTGGAAGCAAACCAGTACCCAATGCAGCTCATGGAGCAATGGTGTTATATGGG